TTTGAAATAAAAGGATATTTTGCCAAAAAAACTATCCAATAGTTTTTGTCATGCCCTAGCCTATCTACCATGAAAATATGAGCGAAATCGAATTTTCGAGCCTTCCCGAGTTATTTTCCATTTTTATGGACAGGGACTCTTAATACTAACAGGAGCTCTGAATGGTATTCTGTTGTGAATCACCAGCTATAGTGTAAGCATTTGTCACAAATTTGCCCTTTAGGGGGAGTTGCTACGAGTCTCTCTTACTGCTGTCTCACACATGCTGCACCAGGCAGCCATCCCACCTACAGCAAAATCCACTATTGTCATCATCAGTCAAGCACACATTGTAATATGCTGAGAACAATCGCTACATAAGAAGTTTAAGAAAGACAGAACATGCACCATTTTCAGACTAATCACTCTTCCAAATACCTCAGAGAGGTCTCCTGACTCTGTGTATGTGTATGTACTGTAAACATGACCTTTTATATAAAATGTAGTTGCTAACTTAAATACATTACAAAGTTTCTGTTACCTCTTGTTGTTGCTGTTGGTCCATAATAAAAGACTGATTTGATTTCTCAATCTCTTGATCCAACCTAGAGTATCTGTCTTTAGGTTTATCATTTCTTCTTCCTAACAATGCCTGCAAAAAGTGTTTTAAAAAAATATCACCAGGCAAGCTAGAAAGAGCACATCTTCCATCCACTTATCCCTCGGTTCTGTCATTTTGAGTACCCCAGTCAAATGTTCCATAGCTTCAACTACAGTTTCGGAGTGTACTGAATTTAACATGATAAACTGGAAACACTCTTTTTGTAAAAAAAAAAAATCTAGTGATGTGAATGACTAATCACCTTCTGGGGGCATAATTTGCCTATCTGACTGTATTATTCCACTTCAGTTAAAACTCCACTAAAAGCTAAAGGAGATTTGTTCCCACAAATAGGATATTTTTTCTGAGTCAGATTCCCTGATCTTGAGGGCAACTTTTTGTGTCCTTGACAACTGAAAATTGAGGACAGTTGGCCTGATTAGCCACCAAGAAGTCAGCACTGAAAATAATTTTTAACACTGATAGATACTGATGACTCATGGGACTCACTCACCTCTCTTGATGAATTCTCTACTTTTGCTTTAGCTGCAGGACTATTCATATGTTCTTTAATGACATTCACACCATCTCTAGTCTGTTTTATGAATTGTTTTCTTTGATTAACCTCAGCGATATCAATGTTGAACTTCCTGGGATTTGCTTCAACAATGCCCACTGTTTCATCCAGGTCTTCCAAATCCCATTCAATACTCCTTACATTATTGCGTAGTTCATTTGTTGTCCAATTATATTCATCTTTTCCAACAGTACGAGGATTATCCAACAAGTCTTGCCATCTTTTATAAAGGGTCTGTACATTGTTGACCGCTTTTTGCACTTCCCTGATGAAACAAAGCTGTTAGTCTTAAAAACACCGTGTAGTTATGAGAGTCAATAGATTGTTGATTCCAAGTGATTTCTCCACTAAAAATGGCCTGCTGGTTTATTTTAATGTACCACATTGAAACAGATGACTTTTTGCTTGCATGTATATGGATAATACAGTTGTGAAGTAAGCAGAGATTCAGAGGAACTGGTAAGGCAAGTGAGGCCATTTAAAAACAGGGCAGTATCTTACAAATAAAAATACTGTATGAAGATCACAATATATTTGAGCTGCGGAGAAACATAATATGTTTATGAAGACATGACTGAAACATATAAAGACATCACCACAGTGCGATGTTCAATCATGTCTTCATGGCAGCATTTTGAAGCCTTGTACAGACAATTCTGGTCCTCTTTTCTGAACACTGTCAGTAGTCGTAAGCAATGGCAGATCTAGGGGAGGGGTCCAGGGGATCTGGGTCCCTCCTTATTTTGGGTGAAAAAAAAAGAAGAAATCACAGAAGGAAGCAAAGCCGGCAGGGCAAGCAAAACAACCCCTCCTTCCCCAACTTAGCTCAAGGTCTGGATCCCCCACTGGTAAGTCATAAATGTAAACAGGACAAAAATTGTGACATGCAGATGTCTCGACAGGACAGGAGGAGAAAGCTCCATTTGATCTATAAAAATGTTTTCTCTACATTGTAACGCAATAAAATATGCTGGTCTTTACACATGTCAGTAAGGTAAAGTGTGACCAGTGACTCCTTGGGGCAGCAAATTTCCATTGGGTATTAAGGAAGCAGGGAGAGGAAGGTCTGAACAAAACCTCCAGTTGAGGTAAAGCCCAGTCCTCACTTACAACACAAGCACAAGCATAAGCATAAACATAGAAGAAGCTTTGCACCAGTGGGATGGCCGGAGATTTTAAGCATATGCATTTAAGAATATCAAAACCTTGCGCTCTTCTGCTCATGCTTCTGTCACTGTCATGTCCACTGGGGACATGGTTGACATAAGCATAAGCATAAGGGAAAGAACTTCGGCCAATCAGTGAGTTATGCTTCATACCTGCGACATGAGCATAAGCATAAGCCCAGTCCTCACTAACGATGCAAGCATAAGCACAAGCATAGAAGAAGCTTATGCTCTAGTGAGGACGGCCACAACATTAGCATAAGCAGCAAGTGAACATGTCAACGGTCCCTAAATTATTTCAGTGCCAACGTGAACTTGACAGCTCCTCACAATCGAATTCTCGTTACCAACATTGAAAAATATCCATGTCTACAAAGCATTTTTGAACTATCACGGGATCTGAATCAACCCATCCAACTGTCGCATAAGAAAACGAAGTCAGAGTTTTCGCCGTTAATAATGAGCAAAGGATAATGTAGCGAGCTTTCATTAATGCTACAGTTACAGTAAGACATGAAACACATCTCACAAGAAATCTCAAGAAATCATTGAGATCAGTTGCGAAACTTACTGAAACGAACAATAGATCGGCTACGACATCGAAAGGACTACTTAAATTTGAAAATAAGAAACGCTTCTCCTTTACGCGTTACCGGTTTTCACATCATAGACCCATCACAAACTGTACTTCAGAAAAGACGTCTTCCGGAAAATTTTAACAACATCAAGATGACGCATTAACTTACTCTTTGACGACGAAAAATGGGTCTTCTACTGACATTTTCTCCACAAAATGGTTTCAGATTACCAAAAAGCTCGTCACATGCGTAGATAACAGAAGATCTTCGGTGAAGTAGGCCGATATAACGCTAAAATACTAACAAATGGCGCTGAGTTTTCAGCTGAAAGTTTTCGCGTCGACGACCGCCATTATCACGTGATCAAGTTGAGTCGATTTCCGGTCTTGCTAGAGCTACGAATTTACTTCCTGTTAATTACCATATTTGGTTTTTTAGGCTAAAAAATTGCAGATCTGCCTTGCACTACAGTGAAACTTGTATGCCTGTATTAAGCATTATTACTAGTAACCCTTTTGTAACTCAGTGTAGCACAGTGTAAGATCAAAGACTGCTCATAGCATTATGTCCAGTCAGTCAATGCATCAATCTGGAATAATCTCCTTAGTCATCTACTTAGCTTTAAAACGACATCGCTGAACAATGTTGAAGGAGTCTGAGTTGAGCTTTCAGAAGTAAAAAGCCCTTGAAGAGTCCGCTTATTGCAGGTTTTGTGCAACAAAATGGCTTAATATTGGTGTTCGCGTCTGCTAAACAGGTGTCCGCTGAATGCAGGTTTATTTAACAGTAAATTTAGGAAGAAAATTTTGGGAATCAATCTGGTGCCCACTTAATAGAGGGTGTCCGCTTAATATGGGGTTCGCTTAATACAGGTTTCACTTTACTATAATGCTTCCTTGTATACTTTTCACTGATTAAGGAGTATTTTGTTAAGGAGGACATCCACTGACAAGTTCAGCGAATAGTGCAACATGATAACCATGTTTTGCTAGTCGTGCAAATTCGGGACTCTTCTTTCCCGTGTTGTCAAGGAGACAGAGCGCTGCCTTCGAGGGGAAAGAAGTGATTTTGGCCGTTAGTGGAGAGGGAGTGGCAACCGGACAACCCACTAAGCTAGACTGTTCTTTCAAATGATGGCTCGGTGTTTGTGTTGTCGGAATGATTTATTCTTTTTTTTTTTTACAGAATATGTACAGTACCTCAAACAGAGAATGACAAAAAAGCCTATCAAAGAACTTTTAGATTGAAAAGTAATGGAAGGAAACTTCTCAAACAAATAAGAAATGGTTCGTTACACGAATGATCTTATTCGCCCTGGACTCCCCTGGATGATAAGGCTCGTTTACCAGGAGAAATGAGACCGGACTGGAGAGAACAGCTGAATTGAAGCTTACCTGCAGGATGTGATTTCAGCAGGTGTATTTTTTTTAGGTTTGCAGGCAGTTACTGCTCTGACCCTGGGATGGAACAGGCACTGATCCAGTTCATAAACTCAGGCCAGGGGACTTTTGAGGGATTGAAATCCAAAACAATTTTGAGGGGGCATGGCCACAGAAGCCCGGCCTTAGAAGATGTCGTCTTTAATGCTCATTGATTAAAAATTGGTTTTATTTATCCTTTAGATCCGCGCCTGTGGAGAGGAAGTACCGCAAGAAGAATGACTCGGAATTCACTACACTTCAGCTCCTTTGAAATAACCGTGAAACTTTCGACGGATGGCTCGACTAACGAGGGTTTCATACGCTCCAGAATGTTTCAGCCTGGTTCACACTGTAACTGAAGGTCCAAATCATCGGTGGTCGACCATCCAATCCTATGAACATCCTACCCACTTAAAAGTGCCTGTGATGTAAAAAATAATTGCTACTTATTTGAAAGGCTTTTAAAAATAAAGAATAATGGCGTTTTCCTTTTTGGAAGATCTTTTTTCGTTTTAGAGATATTTACGTTTTTGTATCATGCCAATGAGGAAAGTGATGATGTCATAGGTGGTTCCACTGAAACAGCACAACACTCAATCGAGAATAACTCTAGAAATATTAAAGCAGTGTTCAGTGTTGTGCTGTTTTACTGGAACCACCTATGACATCATCACTTCCCTTATTTGCATAATACAAAAACGTAAATATATCCAAAGCGAAAGAAAGATATTCCCAAAAGGAAAACGCCATTCTTCTTTACTTTGAAAAGCCTTTCAAATAAGCAGCAATTTTTTTATTATTTCATAGGCACTTTAAGGGACATAAGAGCAGAGAAATTCGGCGAGCGGATTAAGCCAAGTGGAACCTTCTTGAAAGCGCCCCACTGCGGAATCCTCTCCCTCAAACCGATCGCTGCTCTCTTGGTCGACCTTCACGTACCGCCATCCGCCACAGCCTCAGAGGCTTTTTTAACTGTCTTCTCACTCACAACGAAGAATGTCAGTTAAAAGTTAAGATCCTTCGTATGTTCAAATGCCGTATACCTATTTTTATTTGCATTCATTCGAATTCCGCCAAAAATATTTAAGATCGTTCATATGCTCACGTGCCGTGTCATTATTGTATGCATTTATTCGGATTCCGCCAAAATATTTAAGATCCTTCATGCGTTCACTTGCCGTAACCTTATCATTAGGAACGTAACGATATGGCAAGGCTACGCTTTCCCGCCGTAGCCTTGCTTTCTTCTTCGGGAAAGTGCCTGGTTTTGCGGAATCTTCACTATGTGAGTATAAGCCTGCTGTTTCCTCCTCATTTTAACGCTTTTTTCATTACTGGATTAGCCTAGTTCGAAGATAAAGTTCTCAATCATAAAAATCCGTTCTAAGATATTTTTTTCTTTGTCATTTGTATAGAAAATTTGAACGAGTTAACACCTACCGTGAGTGACCGTCATACTTGCACTCTTTTTCGTATATATGAATATTGTTTTTCCGGCCCAGGCTGAATTCTTATGATTTTTCTGCGAATGTTAGGCTGAAAATATTTTCATGAATATTCTTAGATGAAAGCTTATGACATTTCCGTTCCATCGACTTTGATGCCGTTGGAGTAATTTTGTAACTAGACTGTGGGTAAGAAAGTCTGACATGACACACATAACTTCTTGCAGAAAGGTAATTATCATCGTACACAAGCTTCTGGTGTTGTTTTTGGCTAGTTTTGCCGTTTAGCGAAAAGGAATAATTTTAGACGGTTTAGTTAAAAAAATAAATAATTGCATTGTATTTGCAAATTTTCCATACACAAAATTATATTCCTTGTTTTGCGAAATCTCAGCCTCGAGTTTAGTCTTAAAATATTCTTAAAATTTCGCAGATTTCAGCCTCGATATTCGTATAAATATTTCTCGTAGAAAAACAAGGGTGCATTCGTGACATTAGTACCGGGCTGAACAGCTGCAGATAAGAGAGCTTCGTAGGTACCGCTAAGCTGAGCTATGATTATTTATTGCAGTTTAAAATGTATTTTATAAGAAGCAAAAGTTCTGCTTTCTCGGGCTTATCACGTTGTACGACCACCATGCCAGTGCGGAAATAGAACTTTTTGCCCGGGGGGTACTCCCTTATATGGCTATAGGTATGTGTAGCCCCAAAGGGTATGGTTTTTCAGCCGTTTTGGTCATAATTGGGTATCGATTTTAGCTGATTTTGGCCATTTTGGTCATAAATAGGGTATGGTTTTCGCACTCTAGCCTTGATATGGGTATATTTTTAAGAAGAAGCCACTTTTTCATCATTATCGAAAGGAAAATCAACAAAAGCCCTTCACAAATTATGTTTACGGTAATTTAACATTGGTCTGCGGAACTAGGGAACTAACTATAACGCAGGTCTGAAATAGGGTTTTGATTTAAGTGCCAGGTCATAAATAGGGTTTCGAATTTATGGTCAGGTCGTAAATAGGGCAGGGAATATCGCAGATTTTGGTCATAAATAGGGTAAGGATTTTAGGGAGCCGGCCGCACACCCCCACCCAATTTTTCTGGGATTACCCACCCCCCGGGGCTTTTTGTCAGTATTGAAATTATTTTGTTGAATGGTTGGAATTACCGACGATTCTTAAAGGCAACTGAATCTAAGTTTTGATGGTTACCGGTTATCTAGTAAATTTAAGACGCATTCTGGACGCATGAAAGTAGAATAAAAGTCCCCAGTTTCCCTGAACGAAGCCATTTTTGTAAAGACACGTGGAGACAGCACACGCCGTTACCGTACAGCAAAATCTTAATCATTTGAATTAACGCTCGTGTTAATTAACGTATTTGAAATTAACGCGACTTAAATTAACGCGAATTGAAGGTAAATTTGCTTCCCAATAAAGGAAATTACCGCAAGAGAGGGGGCAAAATTACAGCAAAAAAAACCAGAATTTGTTGAGAACAGGAACCAATTTATTTTAACATTGTAAAGCTGACAGCGAACACGAACAAAATTCAGTTGAAGTACAGTAAACGATTTACTAATGTGAAAGGTTGATGGGAAATGTAAAGTGCGCGAATAAAATTTATTGTTTGGCTATGTCAAGAATGTCTGGAGTGCAACACAAAATAACGGTAAATTAACGCGCAAAATTTTAACGCGACCTAAATGATCGCGAATTTTTGAAATTCGCGTTAATTTCCTAAGTAGCCGTGGTAGTACCTCGCCGTAGCGTGTCTTTAAGTCCCTATTTGTATTCATCCCTCCACTCTGCCGTGTCATTATTATTTGCATTTATTCTTCAGGTTCCGCCAAAACTGTTTAAGATCCATCATATGTTCACTAGCCGTATCAGTATGTATTTGCATTCATTTGGATTCCGCCAAAAATATTATCGGGGGTGACCGTCGTAGGGAAACAAAACAACAGTAGACCATAGGAGGGGGGTGAATAGGTTTTCGGATTGACGGATTTGGCCTTAAAAAGCGCACAGATTGTGGATTTTTGCGGTAAATCGAGCGGATTCGCGGATTTTGAAAACACAGTGGATCGTGGATCAGCTGTGAATTTTGACGCGGATTCCGGATTGTGCCTGTCTTGATGTTCGAATCTTGGTTCCTAAACGAAATTTAGATCATAGATCTTTCTTCAGCCTTGGTCGGTATGTTAGTGAGTTCATCCAAATTATTTCTTTGTTGGAACGAAGCTCATTTAAACTCAGGTGTGAGACTTTTATTGGAATTGTACTGTGTTAAAGTCATCAAGCATGTTGCCTTCTTTACTATTTGCGCGAAATTAACACTGGCATTCACATTCACCAGTTTACCTTTGAACTTTTACACTTCTGTTTCCGGATGTGGTTGTGGTTTCGGATTTGAACAAAAATATTCGCGGATCGACAGATTTGGCCAAAAAAGGGACGGATCGGCGGATTTGCATACCCCTATTCACCCCCCTCCTCTA